GCCGCTCCGGTGGACGGCGCGGCGGGTGCTGCCCCCGAAGAGGCCGTCGAGGAAAAGACGCAGTTCGACGTCAGGCTCCTCGGGTTCGACGCCAAGTCGAAGATCAAGGTCATCAAGGAGATCCGGGCGATCGCGGGCCTCGGCCTGAAGGAAGCCAAGGATTTGGTGGAGGCGKCACCGAAGGTGATCCAGAAAGATCTAAAGCGAGAAGCGGCCGACGAGCTCAAAGAAAAAATGGAGGCGCTGGGAGCACAAATCGAGATTGTCTGAGGGAGTGCCAACCCCGAAACAGAAGACGACMAGGTGACGCTTGGACAAGATTACCGGGAAACGAAACGAAAATAYAAGCAAAGGAGAGGCTCTCAGGTTTTGGGTGAAGCCTCTCGGAAAGCGTCCTAGAAATGGGTGTCTTTGCTGCCGAAAAATAGACATGCGTGTTGTACTTCCTCATGGTTATACGTAGCGTTGTACTACTGGATCATTAAMATAGTATATGTGCGTCTCGAGATCCCCTTAAAAGTATAAGYCAATCAATAATACCACCACCAATTTTGATTCTTTGTCTTGGAGTGTGTATCGAGCAACTGTCACAGTGTCCATCATGGTGCTGTACCACTGGATTATCCTCCTAGTTTGTCTTCGAGAATTTTTCAACATTTCTCTATCTATTTTCTGTCCTACGATTTCGAGTGCAAGGCCAACAGAGGGCTTATTCTGCACTGCTCTTCCTTTGGATTTCATACTACTTGCAAAGATTAGAAGATTTTTTAACTAATTTATGGCTCTATTGACTCTCCRTATTATGAAACCGCTACATCCACTGCTGTATATAGATACAGTTTGACTTCAACAATGCGTTCAAAGCACCGTATTCGGTTCCTACTACACTCTACCATTCATCAAACGASAATCATTAGTTTTTCGCCTCCGAAGCAGTGTGAATTWRTTATTGCAAAAACGGAGAATGGCTGTCATTGTGGTGGTGATGCAGTTCCTCGTCGCCATCGTCGTTGATTCCCCAGTCTACAACGACAAAGTTATCCTATCCGCAACAGAATGTGGGATCCACTCTTTGTGTCSACGATCGATTTGGTCAGCTCCCCAATCTTCAAACGGAACGAAGCCTCCTCGAAGGCAGGTTGCATCCTCTTCCGCCCAAAGAATCCCAAATCGCCTCCCCGTTTCGCCGACGAACAATCGGATTCGGTCCGTGCGAGTTCCTGAAAGGTAGCACGGAGCTCGTTCAGGTCTCCCTCTTCTTCCTGMAGAATCTCCAGGAGGCCCTCCAGTTCCTCGTGGGATTCTTCTCTCGTCTGCGTGATTTTCGGGGCTCTCCACGACGAGGGACGCTTGGAATCCTTGTGTTTCTTTAGTATGTGCAGCACCCGGACTTCTTTCGGCGACGCGGACGACGGCKTCGGCTCTTCCGTTCTCGGTCGTTTTGCCTCTCGGGGGTCTTCCTTCCCCTCGTCCTTCTGTTTTTGCGGAGACGACTGCGGCGATCCRCCCGCGGTTCCCACCACCCCGAGCAGACGATCCGCCACCTGCTCGGCATTTTCGATGGTGTTGTTGGCGGGGTTTTCCCACGTCGATTCCCCCGTGTTCATGTTGTAGTAGTAGAAATATTCGGGGCCCGAGCGGCTTTCTTTCATGATCCAGCCGCGGGGGAGRGGCCGGGGAGGGTCGTGCGATCGCTGTCCCTGCCGCTGCTGKCCCTCGCCTGCGTTGCCGCTGCTCGCGGCCGCCTCTACGGCATCGGCTACCGCTGCTACGTCTAGGGCACCCGCCATTGCTTTCTGCGCACGGTTTGGTCSTTCTCGTGTGTGATAGAACAGGTGCAAAACCGGTGGTGGCTGTCCTGCGGTCCTTAGAAACACCGGCTGCCCGATGGAGTCGTGAAGTGAATGTGGGTGCGAGKGCGAGTGCGAGCACCGCAGGCCGGAGCACATAACATTGAAGGAAAGCTACTACAGTACCTCATCGTTGGGTACGGTACGGTAACGTAATCAGGGGTCACAAATTTAGACCCCGACCGTGATGTCGTGTCACTGCTACCGGTAGGGTCCAAAAGTCAGAAGTCAAAACCAATTTTCTKGAGACTCGGTTCAGTGCGAGTTGCGTGTCTGCCGTATCGTGGGCCGTAGCACCGTACCSTACGTTACAGACCATCATACCGTGCGAGTCTCCTACTGGTAAGTATGGTAAGTACCTTGGTATCCAATATCCAAAATCATAGCCGGTCRCGATTCCCGATAGAAAGTTGGACCAAAATAACGGTTGCGTAGTGCCTACGGTACGTGTACGTACCGTAAGTACTATTGCGGGGGTCCCATTCTGTATGATACCAACGTACGTACTCGTACTACCATCCGGTACCCTACAGGTCAATGGCCATGATGCATGATTGAATGTTCAGCGCGAGCACGCTCATTCTTGATGCCGTTGATCATGACATCAAAATAATCAAAATCAAAATAACGACCRAACGAAAAACAAAACCGTTGTCACATTTTACAGCATCAAACGTTAAAATTTGGTATGGTATCATTATTATTTTCTTCTTTGACATCGAGTTCGAAAGAAAAAGCACCCTGCACATCCAGCATTCTGTTCGAAAGAGCGAGAGTACCGATATTGACAGYMGACGACCATGACTTCGCGAAAAATCGACCCCCCTTCGATGCGGAAGGCATTCATYATGAGTGGCGATRTCAATGACGACGACGAAGACGACGCCTATCAAAAGAAAATTTACATCGACATCCTCCTGGACTGGGTAGTCTTTCCTCTTCTACTTTTCGTCCAATTCGGTTCAATTATGTACAGCCAGCAGCAGCAGGGAATATTRCGCATCCAATGGGTACCGACAAYGGCAATGATTRCCGTGTTCTGCATCGCATGCATCGTATACAGAAAGCTGTTCCGAGTTCATCCCKYAGGGTCGATGGTGCTCCTTCTCGTACCAGAATTTGCTACCAATGCTGTCCTTGCGACGGTAATGCTGACAAGTGATTTGACCACYGCCTTGTATACGTTGGTTGGATGTACGGTAGTCCTCTYAGTTACGGCCGCAATCGGGCAACTCCAAGTCTKCCTATACAATCGCTCGATACGATCTCCGGAACCCGATGATTACAGAATTCTGAATCAAGACGAACAGGRCGATGTATRTGATGAYTACAATGARCATTTGTGTTAAATATTCCACCACTCAAGACCATTTGACATCCGACATACTAGATGTCGGATGCGCAAGGCAGATAGACCACAGCAGCATACCGTTTCGATGCGACAGAATCGTTGCGAGTCTTCGTTATTTAGTTCGAAGAGTAAAAATAGTTTGTAAAATTAGAAGAATAATTTATTCTTGATAATTTGGGAATATTTCTTGATGCGCTACTGCTCTCTATTCTTGAATCTAGTAAATATCACACAGAGCTGGGAGTTCAAGCGGTAAATAAAGACACGCAATGGCTCAGACAAAACTGAAGCCAAGCGCTGACTGAATTGCTTCACCCTCAAATACATTACACGCCCCTAGGTTTCCGGACGGTCTGAGTCTTTGTGTTCCTGTAAGTCTGACTTTCCATCTCKTCCTCAGTAAAAAATGTGTCGCATAAAGCAGACAAGGTTTCGTGCGTCTCTATCGTTTGGCAGGTTGGGTCTTCGGATGGGCAACGGCTTTTTTCATATTCATCGTCGATACTTCGCCTCCAAGCATCGGGAAGCATGTCGTCGGGAATTCCAGCGGGCTGTCGAAAGGCACCATGCATGTGTATATCAGTTGCTATGGATCCCAAGATCGTACCAGACGGTTTGCCAAGAGACAGGGCATTACGATGAAAAGATCAGTATACAATTTCGTTTGTTCAAAAAGTGATCGTGAGTAGACWAATCGGCAACAATTCCTATCCTGCGAGGATAATGTACGACTTACAATACGGAATGTCCGCAAACTTGATGGCTTCTCGAGGAACATTGGAAACCTGTTTCGAAACAGTATTCTCTGTCTTAATATTTACCCAATAGGAACCATCTTTTGGATGGCGTTTCAARATGTCACATGCGTAACCCGAATTGTCTCCTTCCCAATTAAACCAATCGGAAAGCAACGATATATTTCCCGAAAAGACTCKATGGCTTTCCTCTACAATCGAATGGCATCTCGTGGACAAATTRTCCGGGTACGGCCTCAGGAGCTGTTCATCTACTGTCCGTAGACGGTCCTTCCCATATCGCGCATTGTATTCCGAAGCGGATACGTACGTCTCTGAAGAGGTATCGCGGTCCGACTCCCAGTTTCTGACAAATTCGTTCCATTTGTGTTCCCAAKCATTGCCGTAGTCCAAGAAYAGTTCCTCCCCCTCGGAAATGTCGCGAATGGCCACATAATCGAAAAACACCTTGGCATCGCTAACCGCCAAGTCCTCTGGCCTTGTCGTGAAAGATTCATCGCTATGGAACATGGAACCGTTTTTTGCCCATTGAATTTTAACGTTTGCTTTYGTCTGGTTGTGATTTATATAATTCACTCCCGACCCGTACTAMGACAAATCGGWCACATAACAGTTGCAAATCACTKAGCATTGGACTCTTTATTTTCATRTTATCCACAACAGAGTTGATCATGTAACTTACCGGGCATAAAACAACTGTTGATTCGGAGTGACTGAAGCAATAATTTAGTACGAGCTGCTGCTGAATCGGACCACTTGTTTGCTTTGGGACCTCGGTTATTCCGTCTGGACAGACCCGAGACTCGTACATATCAAACCATGTCATGTCGGGGAAAACAAGCAAAGGCGTCCCCGTAATAATGGTATTTTTGGGCAGATCACGCTTCGCAAATGCTCCCGAACTAAAAAATAATGGATTATATAAGAATTCGGTCCGGTGGTTCGACGAAGAAATGCTAGATGACGCCTTAGCCTTTGCTAAAGTCATGTTGTGTCTGACTTACCCTGCTCCGTCGATAGTCGAGTGTTTTTTGTGTACGATGTGGTCAATGCACCTTCCATTTTCGTTTAGCCAGTTGATGGAACGAGTTGCGTTCGGCTGTAAGAGAAACCCCATGTCATCGAGTTCAATGGCTTCCGTCATATCACGCCAAGGAAAGTCATACATAGCATTCAGCGTCCTTGAATCCCATATTATCTTGAACTCTTTGATCAATTCCTCATACATTTCCGACGCTAAGATTTTTTTCTCCGCATCATTTTCGAGCATAATCCCCATCTCCAGCATCAAATCAAGCAASTCGTAATAGTCGGACGAAAGAGGGATCTGACCCAAATGCGGCCGACCCGTGAACCAATCGTTCCCATAGTCCTTAAAGAGCTCTCCACCGGCAGGAATATCCCGTATCACGATGCTYTCATCTGCATTGTATGGTGACATAGAACCAGCTCCTGGATGCTTCGACCTGTGAATGTCGCCTTCGTCGTAATTCGGCGTGGCTTTCTCCACGTTTAGTAGCCCAGCATGACAATTGATCATGGCATCGATGCCCGGCCAGAAGGCAGAGACACCGCTATGGTCAGAGGTTTCGAGYCCCATCCCCATAKCACTTCCATCCCAGACGTAATCSGCCATCGGATCGATGAAGTGTAYGTCGTGATCATAAACAGCATTGTGCCAATGAACGTCGATCAATGGAATCGCTTTATCACCATTYCCTACCAACTCATCTTTCGATTTAGCAACCCCAGAAAATATACCTATCCCCGCATTCGGTATAGTGCTTTCTGCAATGTAAAGTTCGCACTCTAGTTTTGAACTGGCTTGTCGAAGCGTGACAAAGAACAGTATCAATATCGACTGTCGAGGGAGATGCAKCATCATGGCGTTGTGCGGATGAAGAATGGACGGAGGGATCCACTGTTTTACTGTCTTCAGAAATTGAAACTACTCGTACTCTATGGTAGAATTTGGTACGTAGGTTCAGAATTTTTTTATTTTTACATCCCGTTTGTACTCGCATTTGGTACCACACATCAGAAGAAGATAAACAAAGTACAGTAGTTCGGAGTACGGTATTTAGATACCGATACGTATTGGTAGCGTAGACGGTAGACGGCCTAAAATGAGAAACCAATACCGGTAGGTGACGGGAGAATGAGTTATCATTTATCATCGTACCTTTAGTAATAATTAGAAGTACGTACAAGTATTTTCTACTGTACATTGTACAGATTTTGGATTTTCGACTTCCTCAAACTTCAGCGCCTGATGTTGAGTTTCACCCTAACCTTTGCTTTACTGTAATATTCATAGTGCGAATAGTTGAACGAGTTGGAGAAAAAAAGTCGCACACGACGACCAAGTCGGGTGTCAGGTACGGTAAGTAATGTACGGTACGTACCGGTAGTTAGCAGGGATCTAAATTTATGACCTAGGTACGGATTACAGGTACCATAGCGTTCAAAATAGTACGATACTGTGCGTACTGGCGAAGGAAAGTACGAGAAAACGAGATCTCAAATCATGAACAAAAAAKAAGAGATGGAATGCGAAAGGCGGCAACCCATGCTCTCTAATACTTCTCTTTGTGCTTCTGATACTTGCAATCTTGTCACCAAAAGAATCTGTTGAGAGTGGTATCTCACACCAACAGTCTGGGACACTCACAAAATGTTTCTTAAGTTGAATGGCGGAGCAAGGCCCGGGAAAGAATAATCGTCTCTGAAAGAATCMGATGGAAAGAAGGAAAAGGCAGATACCATGATGCGACGCAAAGGATTCTATAGACGCTTTCGTAACTGCGTGTTCTTGACTCTAGCTATTGGTTACGCAGTGGCGTATTTCTATTTTTCAAGCAACTCGCACGCTGTTTTGCTATCGGACGAAGTCTACCATGTTGATCATCATGACATGGCTGCAGCCACAGGAGCTGTAGTCGACTTGCATTCCACCAAAATCCAGCAGGAGGCTTCCACAATAGCACACGTATACAAGCCGGTAAGATAATACATGTGTTGAAGAATGGAGAGAACTACGAGATAATTTCGAAAAAGTCGAGAATGTAATGATTTCAGCGCATCCAAAAAGATCAAACTCACGSCAATCCTCGTGTCCAAAAATGAACAATGGTATATTGGTTGTAGGTGCATCCTTCGACTTGGTGCATCGACTCAAAATTGAAACGTGACCAAAAACCAGGTCAACCGAGGTAAGTTCGATATTTTGCAACAGAGGGCAGTGCTCTTAACATGGATAGTTGAGAGGCAAGGAATCTTATGACTTCTTCACGCCATTCTTTCGTCATACAGGGGACTCAGTTATTTGAGAATTTCCCATTCGGCGAGTGCGACTCTCAAGGGCAT